TTTCAAGGAATTGGAGATTAGGGATTATCGCAGGTTGAGGATTTGGACCAGGGTATAGGTAAGGTTTGGATTACGGCTGTTGGTGCTTAAGCCAGAACGCGGAACCTGGAATTTTGGGCATTGTCAGTTGTATGTTGGGGGGAGGGTAGTCCTAACGAATAATTCACCCGGCTGAGGTGATATGAAAGCGCTTCCGGCTGTCCAATTTGTCAAAATGTCTCCTAAATAAAAGAATAATTTGACCGTCACAAATCACGATATCCGCCGTAGGATGATGATTTGCGCGCGAACTACTTTGTAGTAATAGTATGCTTGTGGTGCAATTGTCATACCGGTACAGTTGTCATCCTCGCCGACCCGGTGTTGAGACTAAGTTAGTACGACTGACGGTGTGGAGCCATTGATCGATTAAACTGACCAGCGAAACAACAAGCTTTTGGCTCAATAGTTAGGACATTTGACTCTGATCAAAAAGTTCGCGAGTTTGAGGCTCGGGCAGGACACCACTTGGGCCTGAGTATTACTGGCTGACGACGGCTTACAAGCCAGAAATTACGATTGCAGTCCCCTTTTTTTCTTTTTCGTCAGTACTATCTGCTTATACTACCAGCTACAACGTCTGCCGGGGCCTCTGTCGCGTCCTAAGACAGAGCGGGATAGATGAGTTCTGTTAGCGGTCGGATGAACGTTCATCAATGAGTGTCAATATCCCTCGATCTAACCAGGCAAGGCAACGAGCTCGTGGTACCATGTTTAGGGCGTTTGACTCGAATCAAAACGTCGCAAGTTCGAGGCTCAGGTGAGACACCACTTGGATCTAGGTATGACTGGCTTACGACGGCTAATAAGCCACAAATGACCGTTCCAGTCTCCCTGGTCTTCGCCGGCAGTTCTATCTGTTAGTATATAATTTGTTGGCAAATATTTTACGTTATAGTGCGATAAATGATAATAAGTCTACGATTTTATCTAGCGACAGAAAGTGTATGGTTCACTCTAACTTTATTAAGCTTGGTAGTTTGTTCGTAAATAAATCAAATGGAGAGTCGAGAAGCATACATGAAGATTCACGCCCCTCTATAAAATGCTATAAAAGGAGGCTGAGGGCGATCAAGTTTCTCGATAATTTATTTTGATTTGAATAATTATTTTTAGTAAAATTGAATGGACCTAAATGAAGATTTGGACGCTAAGCAACAACAGCTTAGAAATAAAATCACAAACTTAGGTAACGTTTATTGGTAAACTAATCAAAATCTGCAAAGCATGTTCCCTTTTAATTTATCCTAGGTCAAATGGTTTCTGACGGTTGTGAACAAGCAGACTCGTTCTTAATTAGAGGGATAAATATTTACAATAAAGACAAGGTTTTCGCAAGCATTTACGCTTTATTGAAAAAGAGAAAGACAGTACATTATATATTGTGGCTGTATCATAATGTAAACCTACTACAAATAAGGTGAGTTTGTGCGTTTTTTATCAAAAATAATTTATCCGCCATCGAGAAGGTGCCTTTCCTAAAATAAAACAAAAAATTTATGTTTAAACCCTGTAGCAGCATGCTGATAAAAAAAGGTCGTTTTGTCGGATGTTAGCCTACACACAGATAACAAAAAAATGCCTGCAAAAGCAGAACTGTCGAATTACGGACACATGCAAACTAGTATTCTGGGTAAAACTTGAAACTCAAGATCCTACATATAAATTTAGTCAACGATAAGCACTAAAAACATAATAATCGCGATCTTCCATACTTCTACATGAATTTTCATTGGGTGTTCAAATGAACCCATAAAAAATCACGATAAGTATTCTCATCCGGCATTGGCAGCCCTTCTTGATGACGAAAATTGTTAAACCTCGTATGTTCGTAGACGCTAGGTGGACCTGTTCTACATACATGCAGGTGATGTCATGTTATGTATTACCGAAAAAGACCTAAGGACTCCGAAATGGCCATTTCTGGCTCACTAGCCGTCGTCAGCTAGACATACCCAACTCCACTGCTGCAGCTGAAATTGCTGTCACACTCGAGTTTCGAGCCCGCGTATCTTTGGTCAGAGGCAAACACCCTAACCATTGAGCCACAAGCTCGCTGTTTTGTCGGTTTTAGATCGGGAGTATATAGTAGTAGTACTAATATATGATTTCTTCTGAGTGACCATTTATTTTTCCCTTAAAAACTGACAAATTAAATTCATTTTGTTTCCTTTATGAATGAATTGTTCAGGGTACTTTCGCCAGTGTTAGCTAAGTCTGCCTTTTATAAACACAGGCTGACTACTGTATGCGTCTGGTTATTCGTTCTTCTAGTTCACAACATTACAACTAAAACTTATTACAGTATTTTAATGGGCTTTAAATAGAGGACGAGTAAAAACCGGCAGCTGTAATACTCATTAGCATAAATCATTATTATGCTTTACCCCCTATAGGGACGCATTTACGCTTTCGGTCGAGCATATTTCTGGTGTACATTAGAAATAAGTTTAAGTAATGTGTGTTTTTCTACTAGCATTCGATGATTGTATAAATTCCACTAGGAAATACACAAAATGCATGAACTCCACCGGTAACATAGGAATCTATACGCTCTACAAATATTCTACTTGAAGTTAGTTCAGTTGCATAATTGTTAATAATGCAATCTCTTAAGACAGGCATGGGTCTCTACTTTCAAACAAATATTCCCCTATTTCTCACTATTACTCACAGCTATCGAAGTTGATCCGAGTCGGGATGGGTGGCGTCTTCGAAACTACAACTTTACCCTCTGGGACGTAACCGTAGCCATTCGAGGTTTTCAGTAATCTCATAGTTCTGAACTACTTGGCGGCCTGTAGGGCTATTTTAAGGTCGATGCAAATGATATTTTGGAATCTCTTCTGTATAAGAGACTCAGTATAATATTCATAAGTGAAACTTTTTCCATTTCATGGAAAGAATCGCACATGCCCAAACAGCCAATCTACGTCATGTGGCGAAGTTCGGCCATTAAACACATTTACTGCAGATTTGAAAACATAAGGGACCTTTATCAAAGATAAGACAATTTATCACATAACAGAAAGTAACATATAATGTGTAAGTATCAGTATCAGTTCCTCAAAATAAAGTGTTTTAGTACCTGCCAGCTCTCTCTACAATTTAGATACTCCAGTTTTGCACTTAACACAGTCTATTTGGATTTCACTAAAGCTTTAGATCGTGCTTATTATGCTCTTTGGTTTCCTTTAAGTTTGCCTCTCTCGGCATAGGTGGTAGGCTTCTGAATTTGGCATCTTTTTTTCCCGGGCTCCTGCATACAATGCGTTAAGTCTTCCAATATTTTTCTCCAACACATCGATTTATCATCTGAACTTTTAAAACTCGCGGTATTGGAACCCGCCTCTATAAAATCTATGTTAGGCCAGAATCGAATTTCCACTCATTTTTATTTAGCCTTCTGCAAGAAAAGAGAATCCACCCAAAATTGTTACCACAAGATTTTTACCTTCGGAGCATTGTTATTCAAGGCACCAATAATACTGAGGGGGTTAAATCTTTTGTATCTTCGCAGATCATAAAAATTATTTTTTAAGTGTAAAAATGTCATACTTCTTATTCTTTTATTACGTTTTGCCATCTTAACCACTCTCGACGCAATAGTCATTTCTTCTTTGTCTGACATACACACAGTCAGGCCATTACAGTGTGAAGTAAGTTATCCGGGATCAGAAGAAACGGTAAGGCTTTCTTGTGGGGCCGTGTGAAAATAAATTCCTCCGCTCGCCCAAATGTCTTACATAATACGTGATTCAAAGTTTAAAAACATTGAAACCGCTTTTTCTCGAATAAAATCGTTAGTGAAAAGGCAGCCTGCAGACCAATAAAACTATGAGGACAACCGTTTGACCATTCGACAACCTATTGGGTAATAATGGAACTCCTAATACAAGCGAACATGCGAGTCCCAGGGCATACTTGAGAAGTAGAAGACGACTCGATCGCTCCGACAATATGTTTATTCGCCTGACGTTTCGAAATTCGTCGCGCATTCATCTTCAGAGACATACTCACAGAACAGTAGCAGAAACAGTTTGTGCATGCACAGGGAACACCATCTTATGCCAACACTGCAAGGCCAGATGGTCATGGCTGACACAACGAATGAAAACACACTCAGTGCATTTATCGATTTTTTCTGTACGTTTAAATTTTACGGCGGAACCCTGTGCACACACAAACTGTTTCTGCTACTGTTCTGTGAGTATGTCTCTGAAGATAAATCCGCGACGGATTTCGAAACGTCAGGCGAATAAACATTGTCCCAGCGATTGAGGCGTCTTCTGCTTCTCAAGGGAAGTTCGTTCGCAGAAGGCCGCCTCACAATAAAGCCCTGTCTCGGAGTCCAACAAAATCATTGTCTTTCTAAGCGAACTTCACTCGTTTTCTTGTGAGACGATGCAGTTCGCGGTCTTTGATTTTGTAGGAAATGGTGCTGGCTGGCGACGGACAAATATTGCAGTCGATAGTCAGTTGTTATTCATTGCTGCATCCCTAGCCGCTGTAGAAGCCCGGTTCCATAAAACTAAATGCAAATTGAAAACCCCCGTTGCATACCGTTGTCATCAGTCCTCACAAAAAAACTAGCAATTATGTCTAGTAGTTAGGAATGTTTTGACGGCTAGCTTAACTCATACTGTATATTTACGCAGACATCTGCATAGCATAGAAAAAAAGATCATGCTTAACGAACGTGCACATTTAGAATCTCTAAATTAAAGTATAACTAAATTGAAGCCATGCTTTTCATGTACAAGAAATTGAAAAAAAGGATCATATACCTTTAGTCAATTTAATGAAATTTGCGCAGTTATTCAAAAATAAGTGACAAGTCATCAGATATTTTTTACGTCTAGTCAGTTGCGTCATCATCGTCGCATACTTTAGAAAAACCGAGATATATATGTCGTTTTATTGACACAGGAGGAAAATAAGTCCCTGATATGCGTACCTATTTATGCCGATGTCTTGCTAAAGGAGGAGGGAGAGGGGGAGGCTGCAGCGGCAGTGGATTTGCCCCGCGACATCTTGGCCTTCCAATGCGCGCGATGTCTCTTCTCCTTGATCCGCTCAACCCCACTCAAAGCAATTTTGCGAGTCCACCAGGCATCCGAGGCTATTCTCCAGATAATGTCCGGCAGCAGGCAGAAGGTTATTATCACCGGGAAGAGGAGCCAGAAGACTGGGCATAAGTGCAGGTGGTCATACGTTTTCCAGGTAGGTACACTCATTGCGAAGGTCTGAATGGTGCAAAAAGGCAGTTGAATGAGTCAAGGGAGTATAGCAAGACTTTGGAGCATCCACAACCTACGACTGCAGTTAGGCCGTCGCGGAAAAATGAGAACGGTTCAGATAAGTAGAAGATGAGATTGCCAATAGTGGAGAATATGCGAGTTCCAGGAAGCAGTTCAAAATAAGAGGAA